AAGATGCTGATCAATACATCAAAGGACGATCCTTGAGTCTGGGCAAATGGGAATTGCAGTGGGCAATGACATATTCTTGGTGGGCAGTCTGAGACAGAAGGGGAGGAGTTGCTGGGCAAGGGGTTTTGTGGCAAGAAGATGGAGGAAGTAAGAGAAAGCCATGCTGGGAAGAAGAAGAAGAAGAAGAAGAAGAAGAAGAAGAAGAAGAAGAAGAAGAAGAAGAAGGAGGAGGAGGAGGAGGAGGAGGAGGAGGAGGAGGAGGAGGAGGAGGAGGAGGAGGCGGCACAGGCAGCATAGCTGATTCATCTGCTTGTGGATCCGAGCTGGCTGCTCTTAGGAGGACTCTCTTGTGATGTGAAATGCTAGGAACTCTCTTCACAGTAGACTCCGATGTAAATATGTATAAATAAACCATATTTCATAGAGATACTGCAGCCTCCACTGTGCCTCATTTTTCCAAAGACATGGAGGAGTAAACAGGGACTGGTGGAACATATGCTTCCAATGCTATTAATCTCAGTGCACATGCTTGATTCTCCCACTGGAAAACATCAAGACTGTTCAAGCACCCACATTTAAGATTATGTTTGCAGTATGCAATATTTCCAGTCTTGCAGTGACTCCAACTGCATTGTGGCACCCTTCCCCGCATAGTTTAAGAGTGAAAACTTGTTTTGCAAATAGCTATATATATGGAGCAGATTGATAACTAAATGCATTTAACATTCTTCCTGTTAGAAGCACCTGCATTCCAACACAATATTTTGTGTTAATATTTTGATATGGTAGCTTTAGATTTTTCTATGGGTGGTGGGACCTAAGAAACCTATACTTCCTTTAGAAAACACTTTTTCTGCCTACTCCCCACTCCCATATTTCCATGCTTTCTTTGTAACTGGCACAATAAGTGGTTACGAGAGGAAGCCACTCACAGCTTTTAACAGCCATGGCTGTGTGTTTGATTTATCTCCATAGATTAGTTTGACAGATATTGTCTCATAAAAACTCTAAAGAACAAAAGAGCCTAGTGCCATTCTGGGGGAGCTTGTTATGAGCTAAGTAATTATGGGCAGTACGAAGATCAGGCCAGAATGTGTCCTTAGAAGCTGATAGAAGAGATATTAGCCATCAACAAAAACACTGTGCTTCTAGAGGAATGGGAAAATAGAAATTACAGCTTTGCACTAAGAGGAGGAAACTATTTCTGTAACAAAAGGATCTTATGTAGACACAAAGAGTAATTTCTTTTTTCCTGTCATCTGTCAGTACACATTGCCTATCCTCAACAACAATTTTCTTACAGTTACAGAATATACAGAGCCTAACAATCAAGAGATGTGAATATCCATTGCGATCAGGCAGGCACCAACTATGGTGGCGCTTCCGATTACAAACGAAGACACGCCACCTGTTTGTCCAGGTTCTCCCTGGCCATTAGTAGCAGTTCCTCCATGATTTTGCTTAAAGTGATCTTGATTTTCATTAGATACTGGTGTGCTTGATTATGCAATGAATGGCTTTTTGATGTTTCATGTTTGTAAACAAAAAGCAGTAAAAAATTATAATCATATTGCCATGCTAATAAAAGCCTCCAAACCAGGAAATTGTCCCCACCCACTCAAAACCTAAGCGACTAACAAGGATATTTGAGTGTTGCATATTTACTTGACAACCCAACTTCATACAAGATTGACATGCTCCATTTTGTGCTTCCTTCTGCATGCTTTAATTCATAACACCACTGCCCCCAGTTTAACGAAGCTAATTTGGAGGATATTATTTCATACTGCAGTCCTCCCATCACTTTTGTGAAGTTATCCTATGAGCACAGATAGGGGACAACTACCCCATTTTAAGTCTTTATAGATGATCAGTTTATGGAGCAAGAAATGTCCAGATGTTTTCCATGTGTTGCAGCTCATACCAGGCATGCTCCCGCAACAGTGGGTGCCCAAGGCTTACCAACATCACTTGGGCATGCATGTGTGATGCTGACACACCTGGCTCCTTCATTGAAAATTTGTGGGTGCCTGGGCCCCCACGGTCCCACATAGATGGTGCCTATGGCTGATCCCAACATCTTACTTCCTTTGGGTTTCTGTTGTGGTAATAATATTTCCCCAAACATTAGAACTACGTGGTTTTTGTCACTGGGAAAATGCATTTCGTATATCCACGCCCCCCAAAAACAGAAAGGTAGGAAAAGGATGAGCTTCAAGCTGACAAGAACAAAATTGTCACACTCCTTGAGCTAGAATAAGTATTTAGTTGGATGCTGCCCATTCTTTCTATCATCAGGCATTGGTTGAATGGAGGAAAAGGAACATGTTGCAGCCTTAAATTATGTCATACTTTCTGGGAGGATGGAGGCTTAGCAATTAATAAGCTGTATAAGGCTAAGATGAATTGATGCTTTTGAATTATGGTGCTGGAGGAGACTCTTGAGAGTCCCATGGACTGCAAGAAGATCAAGCCAATCCATTCTGAAGGAAATCAGCCCCGAGTGCTCACTGGAAGGACAGATCGTGAAGCTGAGGCTCCAATACTTTGGCCACCTCATGAGAAGAGAAGACTCCCTGGAAAAGACCCTGATGTTGGGAAAGATTGAGGACACAAGGATAAGGGGATGACAGAGGATGAGATGGTTGGACAGTGTTCTCGAAGCTACCAGCATGAGTTTGACCAAACTGTGGGAGGCAGTGGAAGACGGGAGTGCCTGGCGTGCTCTGGTCCATGGGGTCACAAAGAGTCAGACACGACTAAACAACAACAACATAAGGCTAAGTTGTGGGTGGTGCACTTCTGTCAACACCACACAAAAGGAAAATACATACTATATTTATGGGGTCACACATATATTCTATGAGCAAAAACATCATGAACTAAAATAATTTGGTTAGAGCCTTTCATTCAGTCCATGTTACTTTGTCCACATTTTAGTTGCTATAGGAGTTCCATACACTTCTCCACTGTGGCTGCCCAGGAAAGGGCACTGGAAGAGCAAAGCCTGTTAGACTGGCGTAGCATACCCGCCAACATTTCTCTGATGGAAATAGGGACGTCCAATTCCATAATGATAATTTTACTGTTTATACCCCACACATCTTACTGGGTTGCTCCAGCCACTCTGAGCAGCTTCTAACATATATAAAAAAGTAACAAAACTTTAAGCATTTAAAAACTTCACTATACAGGATTGCCTACAGATGGCTCGGAAATCAAAAAACTCCATATCCTCCAACATTTCTCCAATGAAAATAGGGATATCATAAGGAAAAGGGGGACATTCCAGGATCAAATCAGAAACCGGGACAGCTTTTGTAAATCCAGGACATCCCTGGAAAATAGGGATACTTGGAGGGTCTAGTATAGTAGAACGCAAGGACTTAAATGGCTGACATAATAGTACAGTGTTTGCTGCCATCTTGTGGACAATTCATTGTGTCTGTACAGCTACCAGATAGCAAGCTCATAAATGCAGCTTTGCATGAAAGGGCACAGCCTCAGCCACGATAAGTATCGGAAGGCAAAGGCAGTTTAGAAAACAAGCTATGAAATCTTGAGGAACTGGCTCCTTTCCTATCAGAGAAATGGATTGTGCTGGACTCCTCCCCACACCTAAGCAATAGTGTTAGCAAGGCTTACTTAGACTGTTGGGTAAGAATCCCTTTATTCTAGCAGCTTGGTCAGCCCAACCCTGGATAAGAACATCGGTAACCGCCTACACAAAGTGAGACCATTCAATCATTAAACTATTATTCACACTGACTGGTAGCAGCTCTCCCAGCAGGCGTCTCTCCCAGTCCTATCTGGAAATGCTAGAAACTGAACTGGGGAGCATGTGCTCTACCACAAAGCAACAGATTTCTGTCCCCCCACATATGCAACACTGGGCTGCGACAAGATATTCTACTCAACTAACTAATGGATTCCCCCCGCCTCCATGTGGAATCCAGAGAATTAAGGGGTACATGAGGTATTTAAGAAATAATCGGTCAAATCCAGAGAAGATCTGGTAATGACAGGTATGAGGGTGATACGGAGCTACGTTCAGAAGTTTGCCTATGAATTGCTGAAAAGCAACGCTAGGAAGATAGCTATGGCCCAAATCTTGGTTGTGGGTTTCTCAGGAGGTACCTGGCTAGGTCACTGCAGGGAACAGAATGCTGGCCAGCAGTTTGGTTCAGCAGAGCTCTTAATAATATAGTTCCTCTGGTTCAGGAGTCACCTTCCCTTTCATTGAGAAAGCATCAATATCATATCCTTTATCACTTTAAGAGAGCGAAAAATAACGCCAATATATTTCACATCTGGCAGCCAACATGTCCTTTTGGTTTCAGATAGTACATGGGTAGATGAGTCTAAAAAGCCTGGGACATGAATTTTCCTGGCCCTCTAGCAGCTATGGTGGCTCATTTACCAGAAGTAATATATTTACTCTGGAAGTTAATATACACCAGGAGACTTAGTTTGGTCAGAATTGAGTATATGCTTCAATATTTTGCAAGCTGACATGTGACTGTAGATCTATCAATTTTGGTTTCTTTCAGTTTCTTTCCCTTTGTTCCAGTCTTAAATTGAGTTCTCCACATTTCCACATGAATTTGTGATTTTTTTAAAGTCCTCTCAAAAATGCATTCAGTTGGCATTTGCTAGTAGTAAAGTGATTTCAAATTACTGTAAGGAGCAATTAATGGTTTTATGTATTATCAACCCAAAAGTGGAAAAAACAAACCAAGTTCAGCATTTAAATTAATCTCTTCCAAATAACTGCTTGTGGGTTGAGTTGGTTTAAGATGGAGAATGCAGGCCAAAGTGAATTTTATCAAATCCAGGCAACTACCCAACTTTGATGTTCCCCTCCATCTTGTGACTGTTTCAAGCTACTTGTGACTGTTTCAAGCTATTTATCTTAATGTAACATACCTAATGCATGGGTAGACATACTACGTCAGAACAGAGGTTTATACAGAGAGCACTGCATTCAGCGCCAGTCTTACCTTATCTTCCAATCTATCATTGGGTTGTTATTTTGTGTGACTATCTGGAAGAAAGAGCAAATAAAGTTTCAGCCCCTATGCTTTTAAACATTAATGCATGTTCAAGGTATGATTAATGGATAGAGCCCCCAAGTTTCTTGATAAAATACAGAAATCTGAATAAGATTCCATCTTTGGCACCCAAGATAGTGCAAGTCCAGTAGGCCCATCTAAATAGTGAAAGTCCAGTAGGCCCATCAAGGTATACAATATAGGACTGGAGTTGTATAAGCTTAGGACAGGGCCTGCTTTTGGGGGCTGCAGCAGAGGGTGGACAAGCACTCTCTCACACACAAAACAAGAGAGTGCTCTTATGCAGGCACACAAAATGTAGATCAACTGAGGAAGAAGAATTTCCCTCCCACCTCATCAGATAAGGAATCTGATAATTGGGGAAGGGGCGATTTGCATATCATTAGGGTGCTGGGCTGGGCAGAGATATTTAAACCTCTCTGCCCATCTCAGTGCTGTGTCTAATTTTTCCCTACTTTTTTGTCATCACCGAAATTGGGGTCTGACTGCATCAGACCACAGGGCCAATGGTTAGGCACGCCTGCTGTACAGCCATATAATTATAAGGGACTTCAAAAGTAATCTAGTCCAATTCCCTGCTGATACAGTTGTTTGATACTGATTAACTTCCAAAAACTAAATGATCTGCCATTGGAAGAGATATCACTGCAAGATGAAGAAACCAAAGTGAAGATCTCCACCTTCGTTCTTTTAACCCTATCTCCTCCTGCTGTCCTTACTCAGGACTTTTATCCACAGATTAAACAAGAGTTAAAGAGCCTTGCATGAATTGGCGCATAGTTGCATTATAAATTACTGGCTTAGATATATGTTCATATACAAATGAAGCTTACGGCATTGTACTTGGAGGAGCTATCACCATTATTAGTTATTAAATTTATACACTGCCCTTCATCTGAAGATCACAGGGTGGTTTACAGTATAAAACATAAAATACATAGCCTATTGAATAGGCCATTCAGATCTAATTGCAAACCAATTTGCAATTAACTTTGCTCTAACTTTTATTTTAGCAGGGATTCAAATGGATTTTTGTTTCTGCAAGTTTGCATTTCTCATTTTAGTTTTGCAAAGGGAAAAGAATAAACCAAGCTAAAATAGGCCATATTATCACAATGTTAACTCATTACAAAAAGGTACCTATCGTCCTTAGCCACGGAATCAGAGTAAATTTGCAACAATTTCTAATTATTCAGTTTTACATTCCACCTTTCCCCTTAAACTTTCTTTTGTTTTTCTTTTAAGAATAACACAACTCCTCAACTAAATATTCAGAAATCCAATTAAGGTTGATAGGATTTACTTCCAGATAAACAGGTTAAAGCTATACAATGATAGTATCATAGGCATTATGAAAATACAAACTCATTTGTAAACCTGACAGTGTAACTGAAACAATTTTCATCTTAATTCTTACCAAATGCTGTAAAGTGAAGGAAACAGTACCATCAGAATGGATGTAGGCATTATCAATATCTAAGATTACCATTCTTAATGCAGAATCCAACCCATGAGCCTTCATCCATTTCATTTTATAGCAACACTGGAAACAGATAGCCCATGCTTGTTCCTCACTTAAAGGCTGCTCATAGTATCTCCTAACTTCAGCTAATAAGACCTTAGTGAAATCTTTTGTATGTACCATTGTATTTAGTGGTTTTCTCACAACTACCATTAAAAAAACCAACCCAACAGCTTATGCTTTATAGCTAAAGAAGAAATGCTATCCTCAGAGCTCTTTTATGAGCTCACAATAAAACACCTTCAGGTGTGGCTCTTTTGGAGAAAATGGAGCTTTCCTTAAAGATAAAGTAACTGGTTGATCTCATATATTTACCCAAACTTTAATTTTAAGCCAAAGTCATTTATTGGTTATTGCACCAATTCCTTAATATATTGATCTGGACAGGAATCTATCTGTATTGTTGTCAATATTGATAGAAATATATTGGCTAAATCATATTAAAATTAGATCTTAGTGAAGCAGTCCAAGATCTTTGCTTCTCCTATAGGACACCAAGAAATTTATAGTGTGTCAATGATTTTATGAGCTCCCAGCCTATAAACAAATGAAAAGTAATCAGTTTTCATCTTGATGTGATGGTATACCGGTAATTGAAGTCAATGTGTGGACACACACACACAACTTGCCTGCACTAACCAGTATTAGTTGATACTGCACTATTGCGGCCTGCAAGTTTTTTCAGGATCAGTTTGTAAAAATTTGATTTGGACAACAGAAGCTGATGTATCTGCTCAGTAAGGTAAAGGTACCCCTGCCCGTACGGGCCAGTCTTGACAGACTCTAGGGTTGTGCGCCCATCTCACTCTATAGGCCGGGGGCCAGCGCTGTCTGCAGACACTTCCGGGTCACGTGGCCAGCGTGACAAGCTGCATCTGGCGAGCCAGCGCAGCACACGGAACGCAGTTTACCTTCCCGCTAGTAAGCGGTCCCTATTTATCTACTTGCACCCGGGGATGCTTTCGAACTGCTAGGTTGGCAGGCGCTGGGACCGAGCAACGGGAGTGTATGGCAAATATATTTTTGGGAGGAACAAACTGCCTCAACCTAACCCAGCCTTTAGTTACTTTGATGCAACCTGTTCTTAGATTACAAACATGGTGAATTGTTTGTTAACAGAGGGATCTGTGCTTTTATACTGCTATGAGTTATGAAAACTTGACTTCTCTGTTTTACAGCTGGGTCACCATTGTTTTGCTTGACAAATGTGATGGGAGATCAGAGATATAACAAAAAGCATGTGGAATACAACCTTCTGGGGTCTCTCATCTGCCTTGGCAATGTAACACTCATGAGGCAAAGCCTAGCCAGCAGTGGAGAAAAGGCGGGATCTGAATGTAAAAAAAAACCCAAATATTTAAAACTGCCTGCATCTTTCACTCAAGCCTAACGACAACGGAGAGATACATGCCCTACATTTAAAGCACATTTCTCTCCCCCGCAATGAATCATGAGAACTATCGTTATTTTCTCACGGAGCTACATTTCCCAGAAGCCTTACCAAACTACAATTCCCAGAATTCTTGGGGTTTCTACAGCCTCTGGCTAAGGCGGTGCTGCTTAAGGCACTTTTAAGAACAAGCTCTGCTCGATCAGATTAAAGGCGCATCTGGTTCAGCATCCTGCTCTTTAACCAAATGCCTAAAACCTGATGGCCTGCTTTCGGGTCTCTCATAGGCTGGTCGCGGATGCTGGATGAGGGGGTTCTTCGGTCTGATCGCACCAGAGCTCTTCTCAAATTTGGAACGTATGAATCAGTCGACGCGTGTCGACGGCTGCAGCCTTACAAGCGCCCTTCGTCCTCTTCCTGGTCACCAAACGGCTCCTGCCTTCGCAAAACCACCCGCCGGGCAAAGCCTCAGGGTTGGCGCGCTTTTCCTGGCGCGCCTCCCCCGCTCAACTGCGTCCTTGCAAATATTTTGCCTCCCCGCTTGCCTGGGATTTGGTTTAGTCCAACCCCACCTCTCGGACAAGATGGCGGCGCCCGCAGCGAGCGAGGCGGTATGGAATCGCTTGGAGGTGCCGTGGCCCGCGTGCAGCGCGACGGTCGCTGTAGCGGCGCAGCACTCGTCAGGTGAGCGGGGGGGGGGGAGCCTACTTATGCTCAGAGAATGTGGTTCTCAGTAGAGCTTAGCTCGCAGGCAAGTGTACCCCTTTTTGGCTTCAATAGGTGGAAGTTAAACACGTGCCTCGCTCACCTCTTTTTAAAAAGCATAGTTTTGGCTGAATTTTGCTTCTTGGGGGTCTTTTGTTTTAATCGTTCCAGTGGGAGGAAGATCAAATTAGTTCACATCCATTAGTTCACATTCTTGGGTTTTGTTTTGTTTTTGGTAGTCACAGGGTCTTTGCATGCTCCAACTGCACACATGGAGTAAAGATTAAGGTGCAGTTGTTAAACACGACACAGCATTTGATACTTTTTCCAAAGTTCGGTTTTGCGAATCTGTTATACAGCCCACAAGGTTTCGTTCAAATGTTCAAAGACATGTTCCGCCAAAGTTGCTGACAGCACATGCAACCGATAGCTAGATTCAAAATCATTCCCCATTACCTTTAACACTTTCCATTGCAATCCTCCTAATGTTGACAATTTGTTGGCTTTCTTCTCTATATCCCAAGAGTTTGCCACACCAACCCCAGTTCCAATTTCCCCCAGTATTGTATCCATGAGATCTCTTTTACTTCTTTTCCAGATTTCACTTTCCCCTTTTGAAAGTCCTATAGCATACGGGATATCACTTGTCTCCGGATTTTAAAAGAACAAAGTTGCCATGGTTTAGTGACACAGTCCTGTGCTTAACTGAAGTCAGGGCTTTCCCGTTGAGTTGAATAGGCTCGTGGAAATTAATAATTGAATTGTAGAGTTGGAAGGGACCACAAGGGTCATCTAGTCCAACCCCATGCAATGCAGGAATCTTTTGACCAGCATGGGGCTCGAACTCAGGACCCTAAGAGTCTCATGCTTTACGGATTGAGCTATCAACCTGAGTTGATCCTAATAGATCAGGATTGGAAACTAAATTTACAGTTCTATTCCACTTCCTCAGTAGAAAATTCTGCTATACTCACTAGGACCTTCTTTTTGAGTAAACATGCATAGGATTAAGCTAAAAGTTACCCCTCTCTCCTCTTTTTGCCATGTCTGGTATGTTGTTAAAAGTGGGTATGTTATTACACAAGTTATGCATGGATATGTGGGGAGGAGAGTTGTCTTTTGTTCTACTGTAATTTGAGGAAGCATGATACAGAAACTTAAATGGTAAAAGTGAGTTGATAGCACAAATTATCTGGATAACGGTGGTGTGGTGTAGTGGTTAGAGTGCTGTAGGACCTGGGAGACCAGGGTACAAATGGCCACTCGGGTATAAAGCTCACTGGGTGACCTTGGGCCTGTCACTCTCTCTTAGGTTAGCATACTTCACAGGGTTGTTGTGAGGGTAGAAGTGTGTATTCCACACTGAGCCGCTTAGATATCAATGCAATGATAACTTCTACAACTGTGGAACTACTTTTGAATAAACTCCAGAAACTGCATGGTTGGCTTCATTACCCCAAGAAAGAACCACAACCTCTGGACACTAGTTTTTCAGCGAGGTTTCGCAATTGGAGTGCAAGCAGTTGAAACAACTCCTTCCTGCTATGCTGTCTTCACAAGGCTCATGATAGGAGGCCCATTGGTTTTGTGGGCCTTGAGTGTTGCTGACACTTTCAGATACTGGGATGAGGAATTATGGTGGTCTGTGCAGAATAATAATAATTTTATTATTTATACCATTAAATTATTATTTGTAGCATCTTGCATTGATGTACAACAGAGTTGCTAACTGGACTTTAAGTTCTGTAAATTGATTTGAGTCAAAATAGTGCTTGAAACTGGTGTGTTAATTTCCATGCTCAAATCAGCAAGGGGAAAATATTACTGACTTCCATATACATATACACTTGCTAGAGTTAAGTTAGCAAGCTTTGGGAGTTCTGAACGGTTTAGGACTCTGAAGTACACAGTTTCATATATACATGTTTGTTTGCCTTTTCCAGTGAGAAGCCTTTCTGCTGTTCTGAAGGGGTGTCATACTGTGGACATCCTTCTGAAAAACAAAGCCATGGTTGCAGAACAGAGTCTGCTGCATTCAATCATGTATAATTTTCACTATCAGATGAGTCGTCATAGGTCATTTCGGTCCCTCAAGCAGGTAAGGTTGAGAGTCATCCGGAAATATATTTAGACTTGGGATGCTTAAGGAATTATTTGGAATGCAGCCATCTATAGAAATCCACTGCTTTCATTTTGTATGTGGTTGTCTGATGGCTGTTTTTTTTTTGTGTGTGTGTGTGTGTGTGTCCCCAAATAATTATTATAAAAAGGGGTAACAGCTGCTGCACTCATTGAAAATGGGGCTGTAAATGCCCCCTGGACCAATAAAGTTTTATCAATGTGCCATTACTCTTAAGGAGACTGTACATGCAGTTCCATGTTCCCAGTTCTACTACCTCCTAAAAAGCCATTTCCATAGTTTAATTCAAGGTGAATACGCATGCTATGACAGATTGTTCTTCACATAATTCTACATGCTTACTACAATGAATCAAATCAACATTTCTTTCCCTTTCAGGTAGAACAGTGCTTGAAGCGTTTAAACAGAATGAATCTGGAGAAGCCAATTCAATACCTTATTCTTTTGGGCCCCACGTAAGTGGCATAAGCCAGAACATCTCACTTCTCTAGATTCTGTAGTTTAGATTTACTTGGCTATTCAGGAAAGTACGTCAGCCTATTTTAAACCTGCTGGAAACTATGGGATTCAAACCAGCTGAAATTCAAACACTTATTGGGCAACAGAGTGTCTTGTTGGATCAATCTATGCTAGTGGAAAACAGTAGAAGCTTTGAAAATAGTCTAAACTTTTCAATATAGATTCAACAGTTCTGTGTAATTCAAAAACTTACATTAATTGAAGTCAGCCCAATGGAAGGTACCATGCCTTGCCTTGTCCTTTTTATTTTTTTCCTATGTAACCAACAGCACAGTCCTAACCAAAAGAAGTAAGTCCTAGTTCCAAAGTAAGTCCTGCTGTGAGGCCTAGGACATAACCAGCATTAAATATTGTGGGGTGCCAACACTTAACCACACAATCTTCTTCTTGTCTCTTTATTTCCAATAGAAAACAGAAACGAGAAAATCCGGAAGAGGCCTTGGTTCCCAGTCAACCTGTGCTGGAAGTGATATTAGTAAAGATTTTGGGTGGGTGCAAGCTATTGCTGCGTCTGCTTGAATGTTGTTGCACAGCTTTTCTGTATCCTTCTGAAACAGTTTGGAATCTAATTTGAAGGTTCTTGCAATTCTCATTTAGTGGTGCAGAATGTCACAGGATACACCACATATTTGATAGGAAAAACAGATTTGACGACATTTCATTTGCTTCTATTAAGAAGTCATTTTGTTATGTATTTTGTGGTGAAGCAGTCCTTTGTGATTCATCTTCAGCATGTTGGTAGAGCACGAGACTCTAAATCTCAGGGTTGTGGGTTTGAGACCCACATTGGGCAAAATATTTTTGCATTGTAGAGGGTTGGACTAGATCAGGCATACGCAAACTCGGCCCTCCAGATGTTTTGAGACTACAATTCCCATCATCCCTGACCCCTGGTCCTGTTAGCTAGGGCTGATGGGAGTTGTAGTCCCAAAACATCTGGAGGGCCGAGTTTGCCTATGCCTGGACTAGATGGCCCTCATTCTCCCTTACAACTCTACAATTCTATGATTGATTTTATTGATTTTTTTATTGAGTATATGCCTCCAAAG